CTATTAGTGACCCTAAATACAATAACTCTGATGCCTGTCCTGTTATGAGCCAGTCTCACTGACTCCAGTACACCTATCCCCATTGCCTTAGTTATTGTATCAATCCATCTCTTTTGGGGTCTTCCTCTCCTGTGCTGTCCCTCCACACTTCCAAGCAACATGTACTTCAAGATCAGTCCCTCCTGGCCACATGCCTAAAGTATGTGAGGTGGGGCTTCAAAACTTTAGCATCCAAGGGGAAACTTGTTTTCACCCTCTCCAAGACTGACCTATTTGTTTTCTTGGCAGTGCACGGTATATTCAAGACTCTTTTCCAGCACCACAACTCAACAGCATCCATTTTTTTCTGTAATTCTTAGTCATTATCCAGCTCTCTGATGTATAGCAAGTAATTGCAAAGACTATGGCCTGTATTAGGTACACGTTAGTCTCTAGACTGACATTGTTGCTTCTTAGTACCCTGGAAAGGTCCCTGACAGTATAATTACCTACTGTAATTTGCCTTATTTATTTCCTGATTGCTGTTGGCAAAAGTGTTCATTGTGGACCTGAGCAAGATGTAACTGTTAACAACCTCGATCTCTTCTGTAGTCATCTTAGTTCTGCCAATTGGCCCAGTGGTGAGAATCTTTGTTTTTTTGATGTTGAGCTTCAATCCATATTGAAAACTACATTTCTTGACCTTCTGCAGCAAGCACTTCAGGTCCTCCTCAGTATAAGCAAGCAAGGTTTTATCAGCTGCATAACATAGGATGTTGACGAGTCTTCCTCCAATCCTTCTCATAAAGCCCAGCCTCTCAGATGATCTGTTCTGAATATAGATAGAAAAGGTATGGAGAAAGGACATATCCTTGACATACTCCCTTCTTTATTTTGAACCATGTAGTGTTTCCCTGCTCTGTTCTGAGAACTGTTTTCTGGTCCAAGTATAAGTTTTGCATAAGCATAATCAAGTATTCTGGGATTCCCATTCTCCTGAAGGTAACCCTTAATTTGTTGTAATCTAAACAGCCAAATGCCTTTGCATACGCAATGAAATACAGATAGATACCCTCCAGTACTCTTTGCTCTCTGCCAAGATTCATTTGATATTGTTGGTAATGTCTCTAGTGCCATGACCTCTTCTAAACCCAGCTTGTATTTCTGGTAGTTCTCTGTCAATGTACTGTTCCAGTCATTTCTGGATAGTCTTCAGCAGAATTTTGCTTGTGTGTGATATGCATGATATTGTATGATAATTTCCACACTCTGTCAGGTCATCTCTTTTTTTTTGGAATAGGAATAAATCTAGATCTCTTTCAGTCATCTGGCTAGGTAGTTGTCCTCCATATTTCTTGGTGCAACCTGGTGAGCATATGCAGGACAGCATCTGTTTGTTGAAATGAGAGGGGAAGAAATGGCTTCAACGATGATATTCGTGTCCCTAGAGCAGTTCAGGGGGTGGCAGTGGGTTGTCCTCCAGATAGCAGGGCCAGGCCCTTCAGGTGGCCAGACCAAGGTATCCAGGAGACGGGCTGGGGCATCCAGGCAGAAGGGCCAGGTCCTCCAGGCAGTGAATTTGAAGGGTCCAGTAGGCGGAGCAAGGGGCCTCCAGATGAAGGGGCCTGGATCAGCGCCTCCAGACAGTGGGGCCATGGTCTGTTGCTCCCAGCAGGATAGCAGTCCAGGGCATACTAAGTAATTTTTTAAATTAATGATTTTTAAAAAATGTTAACATACATATTTTTATAGCATAGTCTTTCCATTTAATTATTTCTCCCCATTCATTCATTATTGCACATTTTCCTCCCTGCCCACCTATCTCCCCTATTTTGTTTTTCTCTTTGAAAGAAAAAATTCTTTCATTATTATACAATCCCCCATTCCCCCACTAAGTAATTTTTAAGACAGGTACTTAACTAATCAACTGGAAGAAATAGACTTGTGGCTTTGGTAAAGCTTGGCTTTAGTGACTGATGTGCCTTTTTTTAGAGAAGGCTTAATTTATTTTGTCACAATGTTTGATGCTCCCGGCTAATTTTTGGACGTTGTTGTTGTTATGTGCTGTTGAGTCACCTGTGACGCTTAGCAACTCTATGTACAACAGCCCTAAACCCTGCTCTATCTCTTGTTGACCTTACTGTCTCTGACACACCTATCCCCATTATCCCAGTGACTGAATCAATACATCTCATTAAGGGTCTTCCTCTTATGTGAAGTTTATCTTGATATTTGTTAGGCAGTTTCTATTGTCCCTGTATAGATTGTTGGTAGGATTTTATTGATTATATACCAGCTTCAAATAAATGTTCAGTGTATGGGGGGGGGCAACTCCCTCTAGTCTGATTCCTTTCTGGTCCTGTGGAGAGGAAAGTTTGGCTTTCATAAAATCCTACAGATCCTCTGTGATCTGCAAGGCAGGCCTACAGGAATCTCTCCTTACTGTAATCCGGTCTCCTAAAGTCTATTGCATTACTTTGTGGAGTCATGCTATGAGGTGCTTCAATTTAAGCAGTTTCTGTCCAGGGTCTTGATGACAGCTTTCTCAATGATACTTCAGCATGCTAACTGTGAAAGTCAGTCTCTCACCTGAAATGTGGTTCCCTCTGCTAAACTATTGTCTTCTTTGGTCCCTGGGATTGCCCAGTAGCAGCTGGGATTCTCAAATGGAGGAGCCTTTCTCTCTTGCCAGTGGATCTTGACTGAAAGCAGAGAGCATCAGAAAAATGTCTATTTGTGTTTTATTAACCATGCAAAAGCATTTGACTGTGTGGTTCACAACAAATTTTTACTAACATTGAGAATGGGAATCACAGAACATTTGATTTTGCTCATGCAAAATCTATACCTATGCCAGAAAGCTATTGTCAGAACAGAGCAAGGAAACACTGCATGATTCAAAATCAAGAAAGAAGTGTTCCAAGGATGTAACCTTTCTTCATATCTTTTCAATCTATATACAGAACAGATCAATTGAGAGTCTGGACTTTATGAAGAAGAATGTGGCATCAGGATTGGAAGAAGACTCATCAACAACATGCATTATGTAGATGACATAACCTTGCTCACAAAAATCAGGGAGATTTGAGGTGTTACCTGAAGAAGGTCAAGGTCTACAGCCTTGAATTGCATCTCAGTACCAAGAAAACAAGGATTTAGGGAGTTCTGGAGGCCTAATGGCAAGAAGCTGCATGGCAATTCCAGAGGAACACGGTTTGAATCTACCAGATGCTATGCTGGAGAAGGAGAGGCAATCTCCTCCTGTGCCAGACAGATCTGATTTAACAGTATATACACACAAAATAATAATTATTAAAAAACACCAAAAAACCAACTAACCAACCAAACAAACAAAAAACAACAAAGATTCTCCTAATTGGACCAATAAGTAGTATCAGGGTAAATGGATAAGAAATTGAGGTTGTTAATGATTTCATCTTGCTTGGGTCCACAATTAGCATTCTTGGCACTAGCTTTAGAGAAGCAGAAGACACTTTTGATTGGGAAAATCTGTCAAGGTCCTCTCCTGAGGGCGAAAGAGCAACAAAATCAGTTTAGATACTAAGGTGTGTCTCATCCAGGCTATGATCTTCTCAGCTGCTTGTTATGCATCTGAGAGCTGGACAATGAATAAGGATGACAAAAGAAGAATTTGTGCCTTCAAGGTGTAGTGCTGGAGAAGAGTCTTGAACATACCATGGCCTGCCAAGAGAACAAACAAGTCTCTCCCAGAAAGGGTGAAACCAGGTTGCTCCTTGCAGACAAGAATTTTGAAGCTCCATCTCACATACTTTGGACATGTTGCCAGGACGGACAAGTCCTTGGAGAAGGATATAATGCTTGCAAGTATAGAGGGTCAGTGCAGGAGAGGAAGAGCCTTAATGAGATGAATTGATGTGTGGCAGTGGGGTCAGGCGTGTCAGAGATAGTGAGGTATTTCAGGATAAGGTTCAGAGCCATTGTTCATAGAATTGCTTTGGTTTGTAGTCAGCTGGATGGCACACAGCAACACAAACAGTAAGATTAAAGGTTATACTGACTTCTCAGTACCTAAATTACTTTAGGTAATCATTGTTTTAGTTGTCTTTCCTTTTACAGTGTTTGATTGGTAGATGTGGTATTATTAGACCATATCATTATGGATCTAAAAAGTAAAGGTTAGGTCTACTCAGTTGGTACATGGATTTTGAAGCTCACTATTTGGGATGGCAAGAGTCTTGGGAGGAACTTTTTTTCTTTCTTGTTGTTTACCATTGAGTTGAAACTAATTCACAGCTGACCCTCTAGCAAATTTTCAGAGGTAGTAAATCTCGGATCAGATTACTCATCCTTTTCCTACTGAGCAGCTTGGTCAATTTGAACCACATGTCTTTTTGTTGGCAGTGCATCCCCTTACCATGAAGCCACCAGAGTTTCTTTTAGGTTTCCTTATCAGCGGCAGTGAAGTTTCTGAGAGCATCAGAAGTTGGTCCTTTTGATCCTGAATGTTTATACCTTACTCTGTTAGCATACTTGAAACTTTGGTGTTTCCCAAAGTAACCTGCTAAGAGATGTTTCTCGTGTTATTAATTCTTTAGGTCATCAATATCCAATAAACAGTGATTCAAAAGTGCAGACCACCATCAGTAACTTTACTTTCTCTAGTAGCCGCGTAAATGAAAATAAAAAGAAACAAGAGAAAGTGTCGTTCAATCCAAGATATCAGAGAAAAAAAATTGTCTTTTCATCATGTCATAAATATAAATAATTTTCATATTTTACTATTGAAATATTTGAAATTCACTGTATATTTTGTCCTCATAGGGCACATTAAATGTACCTCTCACTTTTAAGTAGTGACATTTCAAGTGCTCAATGGCCCCCTTGCTAAGAGTTACCATATTGGACAGAGCAGGACATGATGTTTACATAGGGGACATTTGTAATGCAGTTTTAATTCTGTAGGAAAGTCATTAATCGTTAAACTATTGAGAAATCTCATTAATACAAATAGCCATTTAAATATTAATGTTTTCTTTTAGGTACAAATACAGACATTTATGAACAGTTCTTTTGGAAAAATCTTATCATCTCAGCAGGCACTTCAACTCCTTCAACGGTATATATAATGTTTTAAGGAATATAATATTTAGATGTAATAACTTCCTATCAAAATGTAATTTCAAGTAAGACGTTTTGTTTTCAAGATTTATTTATTTTCCACTTTTAATTATTATTTAAGAGAAGATTTACAAAACTAATTTTTCATTCAACCATGCATATATGTTTTTTTAAATAATATTAGTTTCAAAATCTGCAATGTGATCACACTTTTTTTAACTTCCTCCCCATAATTCTGATTTCCATTTATCCTTCTATATCATTCTGTCTTTCCTTTCCTTGGTGATATTATGAAGCTCACTCTATTAAATAGTACCTTTCCCTTCACTCATATTTTTATGTCTATTTTCTATTTAATAATTTTGTTCCCTTTGCTTTACTTTCCCAAGTCTAATTACCGTCTAAGAATGATTCTGTGTAAACATTTTCCTGGCTTTTTAGAATAGTGGAAGTATTCCATATTTGTCCTTTTGACACAGACTTATTTCACTTAGTATATTTTCTTCTAGATAGATGCATTTATGCTATGCAGTGTTTTGGGAATTTTAATGATTTTTTTTTTTAAGAATTGCATCGTTGTGCATTGTGCAAACTTAACAGTTTCTTTATCCATCCACTGATGGACACTTGGATTGTTTCCAACTTTTTTGCATTTGCTATATATAAATTTAAAAAATGGAATTTATTGTAAGTAATGCTCCAATGAACTTAAGTATGGAGTATCTGTTCATGTTGCAGCTCCTATTTCTTTAGGATATATATTTACTAGTGGGATTACTAGATCATATGATATTTCTGTTCCCAACTCTCTGAGGAAGTATCAGCCTACTTTCCATTGTAGTTGCACCACTTCACAGTCCCATCAGCAATGTATGAGAGTTCTTATCTCTCCATATCCTTGAATTTGTTATTTACTGTTTTATTGAACTTTGCTATTGTTGCTAGGATGAAATGATATCCCATTGTTGTTTTACTTTTATACTTCTCTAATAGCTAGCATTTCATCATGTGTTTGTTTGCCATTTGAATATTTTCTTTGGTGAAGTGTCTTTTCACGCCTTTGGCTCGCTTTGTAGTTGGGTGGGCTTTTTGTTGGGGTGTTGAAATTTGCTACAAACTTTAGAGTTTTGTTCTTTGTTAAATAAATCATTGCTTAATATTTTTTTCCCAGTCTACAGATTCTCTTCTTAATCCTTTGGGAAAGTGTTTAGATACACACTGGATTTAATTTATAGGAAATCTCAATCATCTAGTTATTTGTTTGCATATTGTGCCTATTAGGTTATATTTGATAATCTCTCATGCCGTCTATTAGGGCTTCTGAAAATTCATAGATTTAGGTTTTATGCCTAGATTTTCTGGTCCATCTTGAGTCAGCTTTTTCCCTTATAATGTAAAATGAGTTTTTTTACGTTTTCTACAACTAGATAACCAGTTTTGACATACCATTTGTAAAAGAGCTGTCTTTTCTCTCACCTAATGGACTACATCCCTTTGTCAAAGATCATCTCTCCATAAGTGGATACATTTATTTTCTGATTCTTTATTTTATTATATTGTTCTTTGTATCTGTTGCAGTATCAACACTAATCTGCTTTGACTATTGTGATTGTGTAGTAAGTTTAAGATAAGGAAGTGTAAGGCCATCTACTTTCACTTCTCTTCATTTATTTGGGGTCTCTTTCCTTTCTTTATAAAGTTGGTAAAATCATTTTGTCAGTGTCACTGAAGAAAGGTGATATGAACTTGAATTAGGATTGCATTATATTTGTTCATAAATTTTATTTTTTGCAATGTTAAGTTTTCCAATCTATGTATGTGATACATTAATCATGGTATATGGTAGATCTCTTTTGGTTTCTTGTAGTAGTATCTTATAGTTTGCTTTGTGTAGTTTGTATCTTGTTAGGTTATTATTAAATATTTCATATTTTCAAAGGTTATAGTAAATTACACTGACTTCCTTATTTCCTTCTCATTATTCTCCTTCTTCCCATACAGCTCTGTTGACCTAGTAGTAAAGAGTTGCACTGCCAACTCAAAGGCACATAGTTCAAATCCACCAGCCCATTTGCAGGCGAAAGAAGTTGTTCTCCTCTCTTGTGATCTGTTGCCTTTGAAAACACACTGGAGGGTCAGCTATTATTCACTTTCAACTTGATGAAACATTACAACAACATAGAGAAACCTGACTGACTTTTGTATGTTTATCTTATACCCTGCCACTTTGTTCAATTGGTCAGTTAGATCCAGTAATTTTCCTACTGAGTACTTGGAATTTTCTATGTGTAGGAACATATCATCTACAAATAGAGATAATTTTACTTCATCATTGCCAATTGTTTTATTGGTTTGCATACAATCATATTCATGTACATTGTGCTTTATATAATTATTAATATACATTATATTTTAAATAATTACTATTGGTCTATGCCTATTATCACCCCATATTTTCAAGTCCTCATAGATTCCTTTTCCTTCACCTCTCATCTGCCCATGAACCTCTACTGCCCTAGTTATTTCCTTTCTTCTCCTTTTACTCTTCCCTTCTCCTTTTCTCTTTCCTTTTTTGAACATTTTTACTTATCTTGCTCCTTCTATTTTTAAAATAATGGGCCTATGCAGTATTTGTCCTTATGAGACTGAGTTATTTCATTCCATATAATACTCTCTAGACTTTCCCATGTTAGATAGTATTTTACATCATTGCATTTTGGAGAGATCCCTGACAACATTTTCCTAATGCCATTTGTGTTTTGAATTCCTGGATGTTAGTGCCAAGAGTATTGATTGTGCAACCAAGCAAGCTGAGATTGTTAACAACCTCAACCTTTTCTCCGTCTATCATGGTGCTACTAATTATCCCAATGGTGAGAATCTTTGTTTTCTTAATGTTGAACTTCAATCCATATTGAAGACTACAGTCCTGGACCTTCTGCAGCAAATGCCTCAGGTCCTCCTCTGCATAATGCAGGTTGTTGATGAGTCTTCCTCCAATTCTAATGCCACATTCATCCTCATAAAGCCCAGCCTTCTGAATGATCTGTTTTGCTTATAGATTGAAAAGGAATGGAGACAGGCTGCATTTCTGATGCACACCTTTCGTGATTTTGTATGTATCTTTGCAGTGTATCCTTGCTCTGTTCTAGTGAATGTTTGTTGGTCCAAGTAGTTTTTACATGAGCACAATTAGTTATTCTAGGATTCCCATTCTATATCTGTGTTTCATTGACTATACAAAGGCTGCGGTGGTAAGTGGAGGCAAAATATCTGGCCTGTGACAGTTTGTCTGCCTCTCTATCAAAACGCTGACCAGTTAGGTTAGAATGTTTGCTCATCTGAGAGGTGAATGTGCTAACAAGCACATGAAGAAATGCTCAAAATCCCTAGCTCTAAGAGAGATAAAAATCAAAACAACTATGAGATATCATCTCACCCCAGTCACAATAGCAAAATTTAACACAACAGCAAGCATTAAATGCTGGCGAGGTTGTGGAGAAACGGGAACCCTTATTCATTCTTGGTGGACATGTAAAACAGTGCAACCACTGTGGAAGGTGGTATGGCCCTTTTTCAAAAAGTTGCAAATAGAGATACCATTTGATCCAGCAATTCCACTACTGGGAAAATACACCAAAGAGACCATAACTGACATCCAAGCAGATATATGCACACCCATGTTTATCGTGGCTTTGTTCACAGTAGCAAGGAGTTGGAAACAAACTAAGTGCTCATCAGCAAATGAATGGATAGAGAAGCTGTGGTATATTCACACAATAAAATACTATGCTTCATTGAGAAACAAGGAACTCATGCAATATTATTCAAAATGGGTGACCCTGGAGGACATTATATTTAGTGAATCACAAAAGAACAAATACTGCATGGTGCCACTGTTGTAAAACGGGCCTGACTTCAGGGTTCAGGGGAGACTGAGAAAGATGGGATAAATAACTTATACTGCATTGAAACAGATGAGGGAGAAAACTGTTTAAGAGGGATATGTTATTAGGTATTTTTGTCATGACAGGAGGAGTCCAGAGCGAAGGCTGCATAGTGGAGTGGACCTGGGGGGAGGGTTTGTAAAACAATGAAAGAATTTTTCTTTTACTTTTCCAAGAGGGTAGTGTACTAGGGGGGAGGGTTGGAAGGGGAGAAATGTGCAACAATGAATGAATGGAAATCCAAAGTCTCTGTAAATTTTCATTGAAATTAATAATTTTAAAAAATTTTATCAGGTAAGCCATTCTTGATTCACCATACTTAGCTAGCTTCCTTGTTTATGTATATGTGTTTCCAGCATCCTTGTAGTTTAAATAATTATTTACATAATCTTTGTTTGATATCTACCTTTTTCTATAAGGCATTGTGCAGGGACCACACTTGTCTGGTTCATAATTGTGTTCTGGCATAATGCATTCATTCTGTGTGTAAATATTTCTCAAATGAATGAATGGTTATTTAGTTCTATGACAATTTGTAAGTGAATTTGTTGTTTACTCATTAATTATTCAGCCTTCAATTACTTTTAGGTTCGAGAAGCTGAACATTCCTTGTCTTAAATTAGAAATAAACCGCACTATTGAACGGATTCTTCAGTTCTATGTAGCAGAACTTGAAGCTACAAAGAAGGCAAGTGCTGTGTTTATCAGTAGAGTAATATAAAAAGCAAAAGAAATCTGAAATTATTTGCAACGTTATCTTGCGCCAAGCTTTCCAGAGTATTCTGTTCACTGCTAAGTACCTTTTAAGCACCCCTGTATTTATAGGAAGCCCAGGTGTACCTCTACACAATCATATTTATGCCTCTTTGCTGCATTTGTGCCACGATATCTGTTTGCCTGTTCCAAGACTCATTTCAGTTAGTACTTTTATATTTAGAAATGTGGCTTTGGAGAATATTTTGGAAGATGTAATGCTCCTTCATTTGAATACCTCTTTAAAACTTAGGCTAAAGGCAAGATAAAAAATGATAGGTGAAGAAGGGACAAGATATTTTATGTAGAGACATAAGGGGTGGTCTTTAGAGCAAGGAGGAGCAGGAGCAGGAATTTTGGGAAAAGGAACCAGGATAAGGATAGAATGAGTTTATATTCTAGGGCAATAAGACAACAAAAATGGTGTCATATTCAGAGAGCATTGGATTACTGGCTAAATAACCAAGAAGTCCCAGGATTTAATCTTTGCCTCTATTATTTGAGTATATCACTAATAAAGCAACATTTTGGGGTGGGGTGAAGACACATAATAAGAAATAAGAGATAATTAAATGAGGTATATTTAACTATCCTGGTTTCTTAGCCTCTCGGAAGTATGTTCATATGCTTATTGACCCATGACTGATTGGATTGGCAGGTATGAGAGGTGGGGGTGAGAGAATGAGATAAAAGAGAAACAATTGTGAAGGATTGACTGGTGGAGATGGGAGGGGAAGGAGAGGAGCATAGATAAGCAAATAGATGGGCAAGGTGAAGGGAAAGAGAAGAAAGTTTAGAGAGGATGTTGTAAGTGATGGCATTGTACAATTGTAATTATTGTAGAAAATGAAATGTGTATGAGTGACTGAATGAAAACCAATAAAAATAAAATGTGGAAAATAGATATAAATATAGCTGTAGAGTTTTAGCCATCTCAATGTACAGGATCTCAAACAGTAACACCAGTTTTTCACTTACAGCTTTATCATTCTCAGAAAGATGATCCCCCTCTTGCTCGCAACATGCCTCCTATAGCGGGGAAAATACTTTGGGTGCGGCAGCTCTACCGCCGGATAAGTGAGCCCATCGACTACTTCTTTGTAAGCCAATAATTAAAACCCTAATGCATGAATTATATTAGTTGTCATACAAGAAATATATTTTATTTTGTAACATCTGTGCTCAATAAAATAGAGCAAGAACAGTTACCAAGCAAAGAAAATTTAGAAATATGTTCGAAATAGATTAAGATAATTCTTTCATTGGATAAACCAGCCAGTTTAATTACAATTGTCTTTTGAGGACCCAGGACACTTTATTAAAAGATTTTTAAAATAACTGTTATGAAAACCAAGTGTAGATCTAGGACGGAAGCTTGCTCCTTCTGTGGACACATAGGTCATTGATAAATATTTGATCATGATGAATATTATTTCTGTATGAACAACTGAGAACTAAGACAAAACACAACAAAAAAATTTAAACAAACCAACTTCCCTGCTTCAAAGTCTAATACTATTGGGTTGATTCTGATACCTGGTGACCCTCCAAGAAATAGAGCTATTCCCTTAGACTTTTAAGACTATAAATCTTTATGGAAGCAGACAGCCACATCCTCCCACAGAGCACTCGGTGGATTTGATTCACTGGCATTTTGACTGGCAGCTAAGCTGCTTAACCACTCTGCCACCAGGGCTTCTAAAGCAAAGCAAAATAGGTCATGTTTACTTTTAATGTTCTTAAGATGACTAGATTTCTAAAACACCAGGGTTTTCTTAGACCCTATTGTTGTTATTGTTATGTGTCATCAAGTCAGAACTGCCTCATAGCTGACCCTCCAGCAGGTTTTCAGAGGTAGTAAGTTGCACAGGAGTTGATTGCCCATCTTGTAGTGCAGCTGGTGGATTTGAAACTGAGCGCCTTTGGGTTGATCATTAAATGTCTTACCATTCAGCCTCCAGAGCTCCCTGGTGTTATTTTGTACCATCAAGTTGGGAATCAACTCACAGCTGACCCTCTCGCAGGTTTTCAGAAGCAGTAAATCAAAAGTGAGGAGACTGGCCATCTTTACTCCTGGGGAGCAGCTGGAGTATTTGAATAGTGTACAGGAGTGGCATCCTCTTCCTAAGCAAATTACATTCAGAAAATCTATGAACTTTGATAAATGCTGATAGTTGTACAGGGGCTTCAGGCCTTTTGTTTATAGGGTCGCTATGAGTCATGTTTGACTCAAAGGTAATCAAGGGATTTGCAGTGGAATTCTTTACCTCTAAGCCACGGAAGCTAGCATTCTCAAACTCCCAAGTTTGCCTTTTTTGTTTTTTCTTTAAGAGATTTGGTTTTGTTTGTTATGCCTAAGACTAGTGCAAAATAGCTACAACTCCATAGTCTTGGAAAAAACTTATTTGCATTGTATTATCAAAGCATTATTAAGGAGCTCTGGTGGCCTAGTGATAAGAAACTGTGCTACAATCCCAATGGCATGTAGTTCGAATCTACCAGCTGCTCTGTGGGAGAAAAATTGACACTTCTCTTCCATGTGATTAACTTCCTCTGAAAACCTGATGGAGGGGGTCACCTACGGATTGGCTCCAACTCAACAGTACACAACAAGAAGAAGCATTATTATTCTGTTGTTTTCCTTTGCAGCAATCTTTTATTTCATTGCTCTGAATTCTGCAAAAGAAATAAATTCATAAAAACTCTGGCTTGAGAGCTAGGGTGAGGGCTTGATTGCTGATTGACTGTAATGGCAAAGCAGAGAGAGTGCCCTGTGTGACATATATGAATTGAAACCTAAAACTTTCAAGTTGCTTTTTTTTCTTTCTTTCCATTTGAACATAGTCACTTTCTTTTTTGATTGAGATTTAGGAATTTGCCCTAATATTCAAGAGATCATCAACACCAAACTCATTTCCACTGAAGAGATTCTGACCCATAGATAGCATATAAGACAGAGTAGTACTGTCCCACAGTGTTTCCAAGACTCTAACCTTTGTGGAAACAGACTGCCCAGAGTGACTGGCCTGTAGGTTTGAACTGTTGACCTTTTGATGAGCAGTCAAGCATTTTAACTTTATACCACCAAGGCTCTTCTCAGGAGATCACAATTTAAGGGAACTCAGCCAATAGATCTTATCCAGAAGAGAGAGAAAGAATAAAGAATTTGAAGAGGAGCCTCTCAATGCTTGAAGCTGATTGACAGTCTAGAGCTCTCTCTTTTCTAATCTTTTCTTACTTATATTCCTTTTCTACTACTAATGTTCCTTTCTTCTGTTTGTAGCTTGTATGGCCTTCTTCATCTCTGAGCGGGGGGGTGGGGGTGGGGTGGGGGTGTCCTTAAGTGATAGCATAATTATTTGCTGTCATTTAAAAGTTTTGGGTTTTTTTGTTTTGTTTTAACAATTTTATTTGGTTCCATAATGAAGACCAATAATTGAAGCAATAGTCAAGAAATCAAAAAATTTGTTGCATTAGGGGAATCTGTTGTCAAGGACCACTCCACAAAGCTAAAGAACAAGAATGACAGTTTAAATATTAAGGTGAACTTGATTAAAGCTTTCATGCTTTTTGTTGCCTCCTATACAACTGAAATTTGGACAGTGAGTAAGGAAGACTTAAGAAGAAGAAATGTGTTAGTAAAGGGTATTTAATAACCCAGTGACTGCCCCAAACCCCAAATCTGCCTTGAAGGAAGTGCAATTAGAGTGTTTCTTAGAGGCAAGGATGGGCAATTTCACCTCACTTGGTTTACTCATATTAAAATAATAACAGTTTTAAGATTTGGATATAAAAATAGCTAGTAAAACTTCTTAAGTCTTTTTTCCTTCTAAAAACAGAAAAACTCGGACATTTTATCAAGTGTAGAAGGTAAAGCTGTCATTCGCCAGTATAACAGAATTTCCTATGTCTTGGTGGAATTTGAGGTGGTCTATCACACGGCCTGGGTCAAAGAGATTTCACAGCTACAGTATGGTATGTATGAAGCTGAAAAGTGGGTGGTAGGTGGTTTTCAGTTATCTTGCCGATCTGGGGAATTTGTTACATAAAATTTAGATTAGGAAATGATAACATTATTTGGTTTTTGTTATGAAAAAGATTCTGATTTTATAAATAAAAATAGGCATGGCTTTAAAGCTGACATAAATTTTTATTTTCTCTTGGGAAAAAAACCCCAAGAACATTTAAAGGTATCCAAATTCTTCATAAATACTTCTCCCTAAGTATATGGAAGTTTTCGTGTTCAATTCTATCATGTTACAGATTTGAAACTCAACCTCAATTGTGGGAATACATTACCCTTCCTTTCTCCATCCTGTCTTTCTTTTCTTTATTCTCCAACAATTGAACTTAATTTCAATTTTGAACTCTAGTGAATTAATAAAAGAATATTTTGTTGTTGTTATGTGCCTTTGAGTCACTTGCTGCTAATAATGACTCTTTGTACAACAGCTCTGAATTCTGCTCTGTCTTGATCTAATTTTATTGTCTTCGACACACCTACCCCCATTACCCCAGTCACTGAGTCAATTCATCTCATTGTACTGTCCCTCTACCCTTCCAATCATAATTTCCTCCTCTAAGGACTGGCCCCTCCTTGCAACATGCCCAAAGTATGTGAGGTGGAGCTTTAAAATCTTTGCCTCTAAGTAGCAGCCTGGTTACACCCTCTCTAGGACAAACCTGTTTGTTCTTTTTGTAGTCAATGGTATATTCAGTATTCTTCTCCAGTGCAAAGGCATCGATTCTTCTATCATCCTTATTCATTGTTTATATTTCTGATGCATAGCAAATAATTGTGAAGACCATAGCCTGGATCAGGCACACCTTAGTCTCTAGACTGACATCATTGCTCTTCAGTACTCTGGAAAGGTCCCTGACAGCAAATTTTCCTAATCCAATTCTTCTTTTGATTTCCTGGCTTCTGGTACCAAGAGTATTGATTGTGGGACCAAACAAGTTGAAGCTGTTTACAATCTCAGTCTCTTCTCGTTTAGGGCAGAGTTAGGTGTGAGGTAAGGGAAGACTCTTAGCCATCTTTTATCATCTGGCACATTATTGTTTTCATGTGGACTCAGTGCCCACACTGTTCTGCTCAGTGTCTTGCTTTGTCCCATCTTAACCTTAAGTTCATAATCGTAAATTTAGCCTTAAGTTCTTATTCATAATGTTATCCTTAAACTCTTAATTATAGCTCTTTGCAATGCATCTATTTAACTTTGTTGAGTGAGAGACATTCTACTCCTCTGTATTATCTTTTAGAATACAAAACATCCTGTAAAGATCTCACTAGTCTTCTTTCTAACCTCCCAAGGGACATGTCTTCTGCTCTTGTACTTGCTTAAATGAGAGAGTAGCATGAGGTCTTAGCTGCTTTTCTAGGTTCTACTCAGGAAGTAGAGAGAGGCCAGAACATGTCTCCCCTTTACTTTCTGATTCTGTAAACTATTATCAGTTTTGTTTCTGCTTCAAACCCAAAGCCCTGCAGTTCAGAGACACAAAATCTGTGTTTTCTTTTAAGTTTTTATCTTTTAAATTTTATTTTATTTTCACTACATCCAGATATAATTATCCATTAAAACAACAAAACCACAACTTTCTGTCATTTTAATTTTTTCTACTCTTCCTGATGTTCTTGTTTGGTGCAACTGAGTCAACTAGAAACCCTGTAAACAATAGAGTTGAGCCATGCCCTATCCTGTGCCATTTTCACCATCTTGGATATGCTTGAGCCCTTGTTACAGTCACTGTGTCAGGCCATCTCTCTGAGAGTCTTCTCTGACTCTTCACCTTTGCCATTATGATGTTTTTTTCCAAGGACTGACACCTTCTGACAACATATCCAAAGATGAAACTTTACCATCAACTTTTTCTATAGAGGTATTAATTACAAAATTTTCTTCCTTTTCTACTCCCTACCAATACCTGGCAATCATTAAAGAACATTTCTTTCTGTTTGTATACTTTTCTGTAGCTTTTAAAATAACAGTTGATTCATACAGTGTGTGTCTGGCTTATTTCACTCAGAAACACAAAACCTTTCATTTCCACTGCTGCAATCTGAGATCATAATTTTTGTTTATTATGTCCCTTCTCCCAACACCCATTCAAGATTGCCCATGCATTGGATGGAGCACATCACTAGTCTATGTTGCTTATCTGCTGGAGTGACCCAGACCGTCATTCCTGAGAGGCTTAGCAGTTATCTCTTTTGTGTTAGGCCCTAGTTGCTGAAGTTGGTTATTCTCACTGGTCATGAAAATATCAAGAGATACCTGAGTGGACCTCCACAGACATTCTTCTATCTTCACAGAACAGAGCAATCTTACCTCTTTATGACAATGAAGGTTGATTGTCCCTGCAGTATCTTTTCTTCAGCTGTGGCCTTCATATGAGAAATCCAAGTGGTGCCAAAGCTTTAGGTTTCATAGAATTGTTCCTCCCTCCCAAACTTGGATTTTCCCTTCTGCAGAGCAAAGAAGTGCTATGAGCAGGCCACTGATGTATGAGGGGGTACTCCTACTTCTGCCTCTTGATGCCAGGATCAGTATATGTTAGCTTTTTGAGGATACATACGGGTAATATCGTACTTCAGCCTGGAGGATGGTGTTCCAATCCTTCAGGATGTTGTCCTCAACTGATACCTAGTAACTGTTAGTTGAAGCACTAATAGCTTTGAGTAGACTGGCTCATTCTGGATGATGTGGTGTATGACAGGACCTAGCGAATTCTAATGAAAACATGCCAGTGAATCAACACTCTTGTTGTACCAAGAGAAGCTTAAAGTTTTCATTATGGAAAAGGGCAGAGAAGAATTTTTAATACCGGAAATGAAACCAGGGACATATTCTGTTTTGCTTCTACAATGCTGTATACTTGTTCCTACTGGTTTTTTGCCTTGTTTGCACAGATTCCAAAGAACAGAGCTAAACTGCCTCCTCCTGCTCCATAAATCTTGTCCCTATTCTCCAGGCAGAAATTAATGGCTTCCTTTCTCAAAGTCCCCTCTCTATAATTCTCACTTATGACACTTACAGCTTGATAGATCTCTCCTATTTTCCATATATATTCTGAGGACACTCTTCATGTTCCAGCTTTGTATCTTTTCAGTAATGATAATAACTAACATTTACACTGTGCTTACCCTATGCTAGGCTATGTCTAAGCACTTTACATGGAAACCCTATCAAATAGAATTGAAAGGAGCAATGAAATCCCTAATAACCAGTATCACTAATCATTCATTTTTAGCTTTACAAGCCACACTTCTTGTGCGGCATCCAGAAACAGGGAAGTTGCTGGTGAATTTTGATCCCAAAATTTTGGAAATTGTACGGGAAACTAAGTGCATGATAAAAATGAAGTTGGAAGTACCAGAACAGGCAAAGAAATTGCTAAAATTGGAAAGTAAACTGAAAGCAGACAAACTGTACTTGCAGGTAAGATCAATTATGTATTCTAATTATTTTTAGTAGAGTTAAAAAATTTGACAATAGAATATACCTCAGAAACTGTGCTGATATTGTTGTTGTTATGTACAGTTCAGTCAGAACTTTTCAGAAGCACTGAATTGCATAGGAGGGGACTGCCCAATGTTATTCTAAAGAACAGCTAGTGCATTTGAACCACAAGCCTAATCTAGAAAAAAATTCTGGCTATGTTAATTCTTGATAATTTTAAGATATTGACTTGCAAGTAAAGGGAAAAGAAGATGATGGTAAGCAGAAATTAGAAAATTACCAGAAATCAGAGGTAAAATTTTAGATAATAAACTAATATATTATTATGTACTGTCAAGTTGGAACTGACCCATACCTCCAGTGCGTGTGCAGCGGCAGTAAATCACACAGAAGGAGATTGCATTGCACTTCTTTTTTCCTAGGAGCAGCTGGTGGATACGAACTGTGTGCCTTTGGTTTTGTAGTGTAGTAATCTTAATATGATAATTTTTTTGATAGTTTTTATTGTGAGAAGCTGTTGAGTTGATCTTAATTTATGGTAATTCCTTGCCCTGTGAAATATAATAGTGCCTTGTTTTGCATAATTTTTCTTTTTTTTAATATTGGTTTGTACATAGTCATTCTTATATACTTTTTTTGTACATGTACTTTGTGTTATATACAATCATTCATATACATTATGTTTTATATAATTAGTTACTACTGCTCTATCCTTTTCATGACCCTGTCTTTTCAAGCCCCCATTGAACCTTTCCTGTTATTTCAGTCCACCCTCCACCCTTCTAGCCTCTGCTATCAAGAGCATTTTGCTGAGTGGAATATCTCAGTCACATAGAGGCAAATATTGCATAAGGCCACTATTGTGAAAATAGGAGGATAACTGAATAAGATATGTGTAAGTGTCCAGAAGAAAAAGGAAAGAAGAGGGGCAGAAAAAGGGGAAGGGGAAAAGAAATCACTGCATCATTTTTCTTGATGCACTGATTGCATATCAGTCCTTGGTGATCCATAGGGTTTTTACTGACTGGTTTTAATTAACAAAACAAAACAAAACAATATATCTCCAGGCCTTTCTTCCTTTTCTTAGTGTGAAAGCTGGCACATTGGTACATTGTTGGACAATCAAAGCCAGATCTCTTGTATGGAGGGTAAGAATTCTGCCCTTGAACAACACTGTGTCTAATTTTATGGATTAATCAAATTGTATTTTTATAATATATTTTTAACTAGCTTAATAGAAATTAATAAAGTAGGATGCATATAAATGACATGTGTAGAAGATTCTTCAATTCCTTCGGCTAAAAAGAGGCATTCTATCAATTATTTTAGTAGCAAGGTAGAGCAAAATGATAAAAAATGAAAATTGTGAATAGAAGTTAACATTAAATATTGCCTAAAAAAACCCCTTCAAAGATATGTCTTGGTAAGGATGCAGCCAGAGTGCTCTTTGGAGGAAAGAATGATGAGGCTTTGCTTCACATACTTTGGGCATGTTGCTAGGAGATGCTATCCTTTGGAGAAGGACATGATGTTAGGAAGGGTGGAGTGTTGGTGAAGGAGAGGAAGACCCTTGACCAGGTGGATTGACATGGTGACTGCTGCAGTGGGCTCTTGTGTGTCAGGAGGTGTGAGGATGGTGAAGGATAGAACAGGGTTTAGGTCTTTTGTTCATAGGGTCACTGTGAGTCATACTCGGCTTGATGGCACCTAACAATAACAACACCCATCCAGCTCATACAAAGAGAGGCTCCATAGGGTCTCTGAGGCTGTAAATCCTAATGAGAAGATACTGCTTATCTTTTCCCCTTGGAACAGCTGCTGGATTTTAATCGATGGAGACTCTTGGCTTTTGTGTTAGCAGTGCAGCTTGCTATGTATTATACCATCAGAGCTGAAAGACATTAAATCAAAGTACATTTAAATCTTATGGATTGAATTCAACATCAAGAAAACAAAGACTCTCATCACTGAGCCAATTTGCAGCTTCGTGATAGATGGAGAAAAGATTGAGATTGTTAACAGTTTCAGCTTGCTTGGATCTACAGTCAACACTCTTGGCACCAGCAGCCAAGAAATCAAAAAACAATTGGGTTAGGAAAATCAGCTGTCAGGGACCTCTCCAGAGTGCTGAAGTATAAAGATGTCAGTCTAGAGACTTAAGGTACACCTGATCCACCCTGTGGTCTTTGCAATTGGTATGTATCAAAGAGTTGCACAATGACTAAGGATGATGGAAGAATTGATGCTTTCGAGTTGTGGCGCTGGCCAGAAGTGTATTGAACATACTTTGGAGCACTAAGTAAACAAACAAGACTGTCCTGGAGAGACAAGCTGCTCCTTGAAGGCAAAGATTTTGAAGCTCTGTCTCACATACTTCAGGTGTCTTACCAGGAGGGACCAGTCCTCGGAGAAGGACATCATGCTTGGAAGGGTGGAGGGACAACACAGGAGAGAAAGACTCTGGATGAGATGGATTGACACAGTGATGGAGGTAATAGGGGCAGGTTTGTTGGAGATAGTAAGATCGGCTTAGGTTAGGACAATTTAGCTTAGGTTAGGACAATTGACCTAATGGGCAAAAGGTCACTATGAGTTACAAGTGACTTGATGGCACATAGCAACAGCAAAGCATATTTTTGAAAATGTGACAACAAATAATGTCAGAGTTTACTAAGAAAGCCAGTTGAAACAGCAAACTGGGTTAAGCCTTGCTTTCTTTCTCTTGGAAGGCTGTGGATGTGTATTTTTGAGATACAGACAAATATTATTATAGTAAAAAAAAATCCTCATTGCTATCAAGTTAGAACCAACTCATAGCTGATCCTCCGGTGACTTTTCAGTGGCTGTAAATCACAAGAGAAAAGATTACTCATCCTTGTCCCTCAGAGCCACGGGTGGATTCAGATTGCCAAAGAAGCACTCCTCTGGATTAGCAGCACAGCTCCCTGCTGACTATGCCACCAGAGCCCCTTTAGGCAAAAGTACAAGTGCAAGGATGTTTTTTCAAGCACTGTTCCTAGAAGGTTAGAATTGCAAATAACAGCATAAATAAATTGCATTATATTCATGTGCTGAAATATGTTTTAAAAGTGCTAAAAACAAAGACAATTCTAGATACAGGGTTTTACAGATAGAGAACTATTTTTAAGAGTTGTTGTTAGATGGAAATGTCAATATGGAGCAGAGGGGGGTTCAGTGGTAGAATTCTTTCTTGCATATGGGAGGCTCAGGCTTGCCTTCTGGATGATGTACCTCCCATGCAGCCATTACTCATCTTTCAGTGGAAGCTTGCATGTGTCTGTAATGCAATTGGGCTTCCAGGCTAAGAGAGACTAGGAAGAAAGAACTAGTGACCTACTCTTGAAAATCAGCCAATAAGAACCCAACAGAGCATAACAATGCAGTAGAACAGGTAATGTTTCATTCTTTTGTGCATGTCCTAAGGTGGAGACTGACTTGGTAAGAGTTAACAATGTGTATGGTGTCCACTATATGTTAGGGAAAAAAAATCGCTCGTCATTTCCAGGAAGTCCATCAGGGAAAGGTTTGAAAGATGTTTTACAGTATAATATTGAGTATTATACTCATGTGCAGCCATGCATCAATTTCTTATTCAGTAATCAAAATGAAACTGGAAAAAAAACACCCCTGAATGTAGACACATTCTGAGAAAATAAGTGGCAATAAAGAGATCCAGCTACAAAGATCTTCATTACAACATTATTTATAATAGTGAATGCTTATATATAATAGAAAATTATTTTCAGAGTGAAACTGCTAAATATATTTATGATACAGCTCCATAATAAATCAAGTAACTTTCAAAAGATGCTGACAAAGAGTTTTCTACAATGTGGCTAAATTAAAGGAAGAGACCAAGGCACAAATAGTATAAATTATGTCACTTCAGTTAGTAAAATAAGTCTGTACACCTGAGAGACTGAAAAGAAATAATGCCCAAATGTAAACTGGCTAATGAGATTCTGGTTGACTTTCATTTCATTCTTTAGAAGTTTCTGTATTTTTACATTACTTAAAAACCTCTAATACTAGACTCATCGCCATAGAGATGATTCTAACTCATAAAAATAGTACTAGAGAAAATGGCACACATTTAAAATCAACCATCAACATTAATCCTAGTAAGGAGACACTAAAGTAATATTCTCAAATTGACCAGTTGTTGCAAACAATACTATTAAGCTAGCAGAATAGAAAGGATGAAGGAGTAGAGATTAAAAATACAAAACAAAAAATAAAAAAGTATGTAATGATAACTTTTTAAAAAATAATTTTAATGAACATTTACAGAGAATTTGGATTTCCATTCATTCATTGAATGCTGTTTTAATAACATACTTGAATGTATGAGAACTCAAACAAAATTAAAGTAAACATTATGTAATTTAATATGGTGGTGGTGTTATGTTTTATCGAGTCACTTGCAACTCATCACGACCCTATGCACAATAGCTCTGAACCTTATCCTATCCTGAGCCAATCTCACTACCCAGTGACATTACACCACTCACTGTGTCAATCCATCTCATCCAGGGTCTTCCTCTCCTGCATTGTCCCTCCACTCTTCTAAGCATGATGCCCTTCTCCAAAGACTGATCCCTTCTGGCAACATGCCAAAAGTATGAGACGGAGCCTCAAATCCTTGCCTCCAAGGAGCCACATGATTTCATCGCCTCAAGGATAGACCTGTTTATTCTCTTGGCAGTTCACGGTATTTTCAGTACTCTTCTCCAGCAACACAACTCAAAGGCTTCAATTCTTCTGTCATCCTAAGTCATTGTCCAGCTCTCTGACGCCTAGCATGTAATTGTGAAGACCATTGCCTGGATTAAGTACACCTTAGTCTCTAGACTGGCATCTTTGCACTTCAGCACTCTGGAGAGGTCCCTGACAGCAAATTTTCCTCATCCAATTTTGTTTGTTTGTTTGTTTTCCTGGCTACTGGTGCCAAGAGTGTA